CAGCGTGATCCAGGTCAGCTGGACGCGTTACCTGCTTGAGCTCCCCCTCGGCCCGGACGGCGCCCCGCAGTAACCGCGCATGCTGCTCGTCGAGCGCGGCGCAGTGCGAGTGCAGCGCCTGCAGCCGCCGCAGCTGCTCCAGCGTGATCCAGGTCAGCTGGACGCGTTACCTGCTTGAGCTCCCCCTCGGCCCGGACGGCGCCCCGCAGTAACCGCGCATGCTGCTCGTCGAGCGCGGCGCAGTGCGAGTGCAGCGCCTGCAGCCGCCGCAGCTGCTCCAGCGTGATCCAGGTCAGCTGGACGCGTTACCTGCTTGAGCTCCCCCTCGGCCCGGACGGCGCCCCGCAGTAACCGCGCATGCTGCTCGTCGAGCGCGGCGCAGTGCGAGTGCAGCGCCTGCAGCCGCCGCAGCTGCTCCAGCGTCCACTGGCAGGTGTGGCTCCAGCGCTCGCCCAGGGCCGTCAGCTCGTCCTCGATCTCGGTCACTGCGAAACGAGTACGCGATATCATTTGCGGATGTCGTTTATTATATTGAGGCGCGGTGGGACACGAAACTTCGCTTTTCTATTCATCGTTCGTTCATTAAGCTCGTCCCCACCAGCTCATTCATCATTATTTCTCCCGCGAGAAAATAAAGTGTACATTTTACAAGCTTTTATAATTAGGTCACGCATCTACAATTTCGTAATTTATTCTTTTCTCGCTTTAGTTTTATAACATAAAACCGAATCACAATTAACATTCTTTCCGTAAACACGCGTCCTTAACATAAAAAATAACATTAAAATGAAACTCGAGCAACCAAGTCGACTCAAGCGCTACCTCTACATTCAAACATTGTTATAAGTAAAGGTATACTCAACTCAACATTTAAATAAAAATAATATGTCATTTAAAAGCTAGAAATCTAAGCTTTAAAAAAACATCAACACCATTAAATAAAACAAATCTGACGTGACCAATTCGTATCCTGTGTTGTTTTTCTAAAATCATCGAGAGCTTAATCTATAAGCACATAAATTACCACATGAAACATTTAATTAGCCCCAGACAGCATGGTTTCGTGAAGAGGCGCTCTACTGCCTCAAATCTTTTATGTTATGTTCATTACCTGAATACCGCTCTCAATAAACGAATACAGGTTGATTCACTATACACAGACTTCGCGAAGGCATTCGATAAGGTGGATCCCAAAATATTGATTCGTAAAACATACCACCTCGGCATACACGGCTCGCTTCTGCGTTGACTGACTTCATACTTAAGTAATCGAACTCAAATCGTCAAAGTGTACTGATATGAATCTGTGCCGTTCAGGCTTAGATCCGGTGCACCACAGGGCTCCAACCTTGGACCGCTGTTGGTTTATCAACGATTTGATCATCTTGATTTCAGGCAATTAACTTGCCTATGCCGATGATATAAAAATTTACAGAGAAATAAGATATAAGGATGATTGCGAGACATTGCAAAGTGACATCAACCGTTTGTCTAACTGGTGTTTAAATAACAACATGACGCCAAATATATCAAAATGTGCTGTTATATCTTTTACGAAAAATAAACGAGCTATACACAACACTTATACTATTGATGATAAACCATTGAGCAGACTCGACGTTGTTAGGGATCTCGGGATACTACTGGACAGCAAACTATCGTTCACTAGACACTATGACTATATTGTTTCAAAGGTTAATAAGCTCATGGGATTCATATTTGGAATAACAAAACCTTTTAGAAGACCTTCGAGTATAGTAACCCTTTATTTCGCACTGATTAGAAGTACACTCGAATCTTGTTCAGTGGTATGGTCGCCATTCTACAACATCCACATAGATAGAATAGAGGCTATTCAAAGGCGATTTCTTCGATATTTAAGCGCCAAGTTCGGTATGAGGCGTAAGTTGGGCACATACGAGGCTAGGCTTGAGTATATTAATATGAGCACCCTTCAATCCAGGCGAGACATAGCGAAATCATCGACACTTTACAAAATTGTAAACTCTGTTTGGGACGTGGAGGATCTGTTGAACCGTTTTTCATTCAAAGTGGGACGAAGTAAAAGGGTGCAGAAACTTTTTTCCGTACCCACTTGAAGTAATAATGTTACCTACAATGACCCATTATATAGAATGAGCAGGGCCCTTAATGAAATAGCCAAAGACGTGGATATCTTTGCCCTTTCCCACTCCTCCTACTTACGAATATGCAGGAGCAAATTGTAATTAAATTAATTTATTATTATTTATAATTCTTCGCAGAAGAGCAGCGGACTGCTTTACCGACGCAGCCGTCGGTAACTTACTCACAGGCAGCGGAAAATTTCGCGCCTACCCCCGACGCCGCCAAAAAAACTCCGTCCGCCGCCGCATCGCACATCGCAGCTCCGCCCGCGCAACCAGTCCCCGGCACCGCTCCCACGGCCCAACGGGTACAGAAATACCCGCCGCTAGTGGTCGAGCACCTGCCGGACTGACCCGCGCATATGCGCCTCCTGCACCACGCCCTTAGCCGCGCACCTAATGCGTGCCCGACGACGAAGAACACCGGCTCATTCAGGCCTACCTCTCCAAGCCGGAGGGACAAACCGGATTGAGCCGGTTCACATACGCCCTCCCCAAGGACCGCAGCTATAAGTGGCTATAAGAGGGCTACCTTATAACACCGAGCCGCATCGCGTCGTCGAGGCCCGCTAAGGGCTTCCGATGTGAATATGCCAAGCGGATCCGGACGCGAGCAGGCCGCCGCGGATGCATCTACTACACTGCCCTGAAACGAATACCGGACACCATCCACCCTGTATGATCGGGATCACCATTGAAGCGTGGAGGGGCAAGAAGGACCCTGCGCAGTGTCACCGCTGCCAGGGCTTTCGACATTCCTTCTAAGGATGTCACCGCGCGCTTGCCTGCATGCGCTGCGGAGACTGCCCCCGCCCGCGTTTACAATTGCCAACTTGCGCGAACTGCAAGGGCCCGCTTCCAGCAAACCATGGTGCGTGCCCCGCGACACTCCGCGAGGCGCGCAACAGGAAGGCCTCCACTGTGGCCCGATCAGGCCGCACGCCCGACCGAGGTGAGTGACCACGCGCCGGCCACATTCATGCCATCAGTCAACGCTCCGCCCGCCCAAAAGACGTCGAAGCCCCGCCGCCGACGCAACAAACGAAGCCGCCCCACCACCATGCAGAGTGAAGAGGCGACCTCCGCTACCATCCGACCCGACGCAGCCCCTACCTTTTCCGACGCAACCATCGCTACGGAACCAAAACCAGCAGAGGCCCCACAGTTCGATTTCTCACAGATAGACATCCGAGCGTTCAGCGCGGACCCCGCAGACTGGATCTTGGAAATCCTCAAAAATTTCGGGTAACCTAATTTCAAATCTACCCACCGCTTAGAGGCGCTCCCCCCCTCTCGCCTAAGTCCATCGCACGCTCGCTGGGCCTCCCCCATGGGTCTCACCCGGTGGGCTCGAATACGCCGAGGGCGATGAATGAAGTCGCAGGGAGGGAGAATGACCTAACGACCGGGTCCCGTTCGTTAACGGGACGCGCACCGTGGCGAGATGGCAAGACGCCAGATGACTCCCCGCGAGACGAAGACACAGTCGAACCCTTACCAGTCGCTTATCAAAAGTTGACTGATACACATCTCCACAACCTGCATTCATTGTTTTCAAGAAACCGTGGATACCACACCTCAAGAAGCCGCTCAAGTTGTTGCCTTATTGCAAAAAGGACTCAGTCAGCGAGTAGTCGCTTCCCAGCTTCACTTGAGTCGGTATGCTGTATCCCGAGTATACAGACAATATCCAGAGACCGGAGCATTCACTCGGAGACCAACAACCGGCCGCCACCGTTGTACTTCTGAACGAGACGACCGTTTCATTGTCTCAACCTCTCTGCGAAATCAGCACTTTACGGATGTCGAAGTGCAGGGCGAGCTGAGACGTGTTCGAAGTGTAGCAGACATTAAGAAGACGTCTAAAGGAAGCCAATCTGACTCCAGAAAGGCCTGCAACGGGCCCCAAATTGACTGCAGGCCACCGGCAAGCTCGGCTACAATTTGCTCCAGAGCATCTCAAATGGAGCGTTGGGCAGTGGCGGTCGGTCCTGTTCACTGACGAGTGCAGGATGTGTGCATGTTGTTTCGTAGAAAGCGTTGCCTATGGTTTCGGTTCTTGCATGATATGGGCTGGTATCTCGTTAGGGGGTAAAACCGAGCTCGTTTTCGTGCCTGGATGAGGACTGGCAGCTGATGGGTATATCACAAATATTCTCCTGGAACATTATGTGCCCTACGCAGGATTTTTTGGCGAAGACTTCATCCTAATGCACGACAATGCTCGATGCCACACAGCGCGCGTTACTCAGCAGTTCCTTCGAGAAGTCGATTTGCGCACAATGGACTGGTCTGCGCTCAGTCCAGACCTAAATCCCATCGAGTATTTATGGGACGAGCTCAAAAGAAGGGTACGAGCAAGAAATCGAGCCCCTTTGAGCCTAGAAAAATTGAAGGCAGCTTTGTTAGAGAAGTGGGAAGTTATTCCTCGAGACACCGTCAACAAATTAATAAGGTCGATGAAGAACCGACTACGGGCTGTAATTAGGGCTAGGGGGGCAATACCAAATACTAAACAAATAAATTTTATACTCCAATCAATTTTTAGCCTTAGTAGTAAGATAAAAAATTCTAAGTCTACTTACGAATGTACTTTGATAAATCAAGGCGAATGTCCTTCTTACGTTAATAACAAAAACAGGCAAGATCGTAAGTTGAACGGAATTTAGCATAGAGTAAAGGAAACATATTTAATATTTTCATTCTATAAAAAAGTCAAAATAAAGTTACGCTTCGAGTAAGATACATAACACCGCAGAGTTAAAGTAATGCAAAAACTAAAGTTCCGACAACGCTGCATTGAAACGAACTTTGTGTATACTTTCTTTCGCTGCTGACTTCATCAATCTCCATAAAGTTTGGACTGCATTCCAGCTACATACCCTTGGCGCCGTGCGGCACACACTCACCGTCGTCCGCGGGCTGCGCGTCGTCGACGACCACGACGGCGTCGGCGAGCGCGTCGACGGTGGGCTGGTGCGCGCGCAGGTCGTGGTGCAGCGCGTGCAGCTGCGCGTGCAGCGCGTGCGGCGCGTGCGACACACACTCACCGTCGTCCGCGGGCTGCGCGTCGTCGACGACCACGACGGCGTCGGCGAGCGCGTCGACGGTGGGCTGGTGCGCGCGCAGGTCGTGGTGCAGCGCGTGCAGCGCGTGCAGCTGCGCGTGCAGCGCGTGCGGCGCGTGCGACACACACTCACCGTCGTCCGCGGGCTGCGCGTCGTCGACGACCACGACGGCGTCGGCGAGCGCGTCGACGGTGGGCTGGTGCGCGCGCAGGTCGTGGTGCAGCGCGTGCAGCGCGTGCAGCTGCGCGTGCAGCGCGTGCGGCGCGTGCGACACACACTCACCGTCGTCCGCGGGCTGCGCGTCGTCGACGACCACGACGGCGTCGGCGAGCGCGTCGACGGTGGGCTGGTGCGCGCGCAGGTCGTGGTGCAGCGCGTGCAGCGCGTGCAGCTGCGCGTGCAGCGCGTGCGGCGCGTGCGACACACACTCACCGTCGTCCGCGGGCTGCGCGTCGTCGACGACCACGACGGCGTCGGCGAGCGCGTCGACGGTGGGCTGGTGCGCGCGCAGGTCGTGGTGCAGCGCGTGCAGCGCGTGCAGCTGCGCGTGCAGCGCGTGCGGCGCGTGCGACACACACTCACCGTCGTCCGCGGGCTGCGCGTCGTCGACGACCACGACGGCGTCGGCGAGCGCGTCGACGGTGGGCTGGTGCGCGCGCAGGTCGTGGTGCAGCGCGTGCAGCGCGTGCAGCTGCGCGTGCAGCGCGTGCGGCGCCGTGCCCAGCGACCCCAGCCGGGACATGCGGTCCTCCGTCGACGTCAGCCATTGCCTGTTATTGGACACATATTTTTTAATGTCTTATAAATCGATTAAACCCTTTGCGCGTATGAAGAGTGTAACGTTATGTCATGTTGTCACGAGTTATTTCACCTATGTTTCTCAGCATTGAAAAAGAAAATATTTTCCATTTAGTAACAAATACGTCTGTGAGTAACAATTAACTTACCACATAGATTTTTAAAGAATAACTTTAGAGATTAATATTATGGCAAAAAATATATGGGTGATGCATCATCATCAGCCTATTAATGTCCCCACTGCTGGGGCACAGGCCTTCCCTATGGATGGAATAGGGAGATTGGGCCATAACCCACCACGCGGGCCCAGTGCGGATTGGTGGGTGCTATGCTAACGACTGCAGATGCAGCCGGGACCAACGGCTTAACGTGCCTTCCGAAGCACGGAGGGGCTCGAGATAGTAAATGTTCGGTCACCCATCCAATGACCGACCACTGCGAAAGTTGCTTAACATCAACGATCGCAGCCGAACGCGCTAACCACTTGCGCCATCGATCTCCTCTGCGTGGGTGATGCATGCACCTTAAAAAATAATTGACATTGTAGGTAGGCCAAAGGGGAAGATCTTCCTCCGAGCTGGGTGACGTTAGCTCGGGGGCCGCGGCTCGACTGATGTTGGTTGGGCATCGTATATATGACAAGTTTGCCTCCGAATTTCATTTGCGCGATATAGGCTTCTATACTAATATTGATCGCAGTGCAGGTAACGTCATCTCTTAAGGATGGTGAGTAATGATTTCCTCCAACCGTTGTATATATGTGGGGCATATAGATGTCGCTGCCATATACATAGACTTGTAATACCCATTTGTTTTTCTTTTTATATAACAATTGTGATATTGGTATTGGTGTGTCAAATAAAATAAATAAAACATTCCGCGATATATGTTGGATGAGGTCGAAGAATTCTTTCGACCCTCTTTCCCACGTTAACCCGCATCAGTGATGGTGCCTGTGACAGTCCCAGCGCTGGGCCAGCAGGCGGGCCGGTGTGGGCTACGTACTTGAAGCTGGCCAGCTGGCGGTGCTGCGTGGCCATGAGCGCGCGATGCAGGCGGGCCTGCGCGGCCATGGCGTGGTGCCGCAGACAGTCCCAGCGCTGGGCCAGCAGGCGGGCCGGTGTGGGCTACGTACTTGAAGCTGGCCAGCTGGCGGTGCTGCGTGGCCATGAGCGCGCGATGCAGGCGGGCCTGCGCGGCCATGGCGTGGTGCCGCAGACAGTCCCAGCGCTGGGCCAGCAGGCGGGCCGGTGTGGGCTACGTACTTGAAGCTGGCCAGCTGGCGGTGCTGCGTGGCCATGAGCGCGCGATGCAGGCGGGCCTGCGCGGCCATGGCGTGGTGCCGCAGACAGTCCCAGCGCTGGGCCAGCAGGCGGGCCGGTGTGGGCTACGTACTTGAAGCTGGCCAGCTGGCGGTGCTGCGTGGCCATGAGCGCGCGATGCAGGCGGGCCTGCGCGGCCATGGCGTGGTGCCGCAGACAGTCCCAGCGCTGGGCCAGCAGGCGGGCCGGTGTGGGCTACGTACTTGAAGCTGGCCAGCTGGCGGTGCTGCGTGGCCATGAGCGCGCGATGCAGGCGGGCCTGCGCGGCCATGGCGTGGTGCCGCAGACAGTCCCAGCGCTGGGCCAGCAGGCGGGCCGGTGTGGGCTACGTACTTGAAGCTGGCCAGCTGGCGGTGCTGCGTGGCCATGAGCGCGCGATGCAGGCGGGCCTGCGCGGCCATGGCGTGGTGCCGCAGACAGTCCCAGCGCTGGGCCAGCAGGCGGGCCGGTGTGGGCTACGTACTTGAAGCTGGCCAGCTGGCGGTGCTGCGTGGCCATGAGCGCGCGATGCAGGCGGGCCTGCGCGGCCATGGCGTGGTGCCGCAGACAGTCCCAGCGCTGGGCCAGCAGGCGGGCCGGTGTGGGCTACGTACTTGAAGCTGGCCAGCTGGCGGTGCTGCGTGGCCATGAGCGCGCGATGCAGGCGGGCCTGCGCGGCCATGGCGTGGTGCCGCAGACAGTCCCAGCGCTGGGCCAGCAGGCGGGCCGGTGTGGGCTACGTACTTGAAGCTGGCCAGCTGGCGGTGCTGCGTGGCCATGAGCGCGCGATGCAGGCGGGCCTGCGCGGCCATGGCGTGGTGCCGCAGACAGTCCCAGCGCTGGGCCAGCAGGCGGGCCTGGAGCCGCAGCTCGTTGGCCTCGTCGGGGGAGAGCCCGCCCCCGCCCACCAGGCGCCCGCCCAGCTCCAGCACGCCGCCCACGCGGGACTGGCCCTCCGACAGCTCCAGCAGGAACTTCTGCAAACCGAACGAACACATTCGGAGGCACGCAAAAACAACATTATTTTGGGCGAGAAAAAGATACCGTGCCAGCGAGGATTATAGATTCGTTCTTTCGTAGACGTAGAGAATGGACTCGACCGTTCCGGTCGAATAAAGTAAAATAAAAGTAAATTTAAGAGACACGCGAGCGACGGCTCTTCGATGAATTATAGGGAAGCATAACTCTTTAATAAAGGTCACTATAAATATACGCGGTGCAAGTTTCGAATATTATATAAATATAATATTCGAAACTTGCACCGCGACATATTATTTTAAACTCGCATGATCACTAATATTATAGCTGTTAACGGAATTGCTACCGTGAACCTTTGATTAGTTACTCCCTAGGTAGAGCGTGGCGACGCAGATGCGTTGAAATAAATATCTTCCGCCTGATGGGATTTTAAGTCGTTTTCCGTCACTTACCCACTTAAAAATAAACGAGGAATAAACTTAGACTAGTTACGCCGTGTTTTATACGTCTGTCTGTGCTATCTATGAAATAGCTTAATCATAATCATCGATTAAAATATTTCAATTTTAGTAATTAAAACAATGTAATTTATTCCAATTCGATTCAATAAATATAATGTATTTCAATTTAATTCAATAAATGTAATGTCTTTAAATTTAATTTAATCAATGTTATGTATTCCTATGTTTAGTATATTTGTGTAAATTCAATTTAAATTTAATTTTTACTATGTTTTTATTAATTAAGATGAATAATGTAATTTTTAAAAATCATGTCTGCTCATATATTGCTTGTTGTGGTCGCCTTAAATAGAATGTACACTGTTTCTTGTTTTATGAAATTGTGTTAGATGTTAATTATTCTTTGTATCATGCACTGGTGATCCTTAATAAATAAATAAATAAAAACTAAATAAATGACGTCTGGACACATAAAACAACCAATTACCATCGACAAGTAACTCATTATTCACCTTAAAAAAATAGAACTATGACAACATATTAATTAAAAAAATTACATCATCTTGACATTTTCAAAGTGAACTATCTCGATGCAAATAATACTAAAATAACAACAACAATGTAAAAAAAAATACTCCCATAATAATTTACGAAGAAATTACATTTTCTCTAAATCTACATTCTCATTTTCTAAAAATATTAGCTTATTCGTGTTCATATCTGTCTCACCTCGTGGGCATGGAAGTGTTCCTTGAGGGCGGGCAGTTCGTCGGGCAGCGGCGGCGCGTTGTTTAGCCGCTCCTCCGCATCCAGCAGCCAGGCCAGGGCATCTTCCAACGCAGAACTGTACCCGCCCACTTCTACTGAGGCGGCAGTAGCGGAGGATAAAGGCCTGGTAGCGGCCTCTACCTCCGTCTCTATGTCCTGGTCGGCGACCTCCCCCTCCCCCTCCCCCTCCCCCTGCGCCTCCCCCTCCCCCTCCCCCTCAGGCTCCGGGTCGGGGTCGGGGTCGGAGGCCTCGCGGCCCACGGATTGGAACACGCACATTAGGTACATCATGATGGACTTCTTGTCGGGACTCGGTGTGTTCACGTCTGTCAAATAGAAATACACGAATTACTTCACGGAATTAAACAACACGCATTAAACAATTCATCCCTTCCCCCCCTCTAAAAGCTAAACTATTGGCTTGAAAAATTCATCATAATAATGCTTTTCATAAACTTTTAAGGAAAACTATAGTGGTTAAGTTAGATTTGTTAGTTTAACAGTAAAAATCGTTCAAATTTGATCAAAGAAATTTTCCTTCCTATTGAAAATTCCTTAGAAGAAAACATTAATAGAGACATAGATGAAGTTATTGTAGCATAAAACCTTACATTGCAGCAAAAAAAAATTTCAAAACAAACTGAAACTCATTTATTCAGTCTAGGCTGTTACAAGCACTTATGAAGGTCAAGAAACTCCGCCACAATAAAATATCATTCGTTTCACAACGCTACCGCGAGTACCAATGGCAACGGCTTTTCAGTAGCGCTGACTTCACGTTTTTATAAAAAGTATATAAGCACTTGAAAAGATCGCCGGTTATACCGCATCATCGCTTCAGATAAAGCTTTTGGTCACTAAAAGTCAGACATAACCTTGATTGATATTAATAATGGGTTTTTCTAATTTCCGATATAGAAAATAAAGACTCCTGCTTAAATATATTGTGGTAACTACAAGCAACCAGGTGTTAGGTGTGGACAACGCTTATCACTTAGGGATATAAAAAATAGATAGAAGCCAATTATCAGACCTACTGAATATGCATGTAAAATTTCATAAAAATCGGTTAAGCCGTTTCGGAGGAGTATGGTAACTGACATTGTGACACGAGAATTTTATATATTAGATATATATATTGTGGATCATGTAAATATATCATATCTTCTTTTTGTTGTCGTGTTGGACCCCTTGATTCCGCGCACAGTCATATAATTTAGGTACAAACCCTCCCCGCGAGGCCAGGAGGCTGCTGGGTGGGAGAGGGTATTCGCAGGGGTTTTTAGCCGATATTATACCGTAAAGAGCCCGTAAGAGTCGCGAGCTCCTCAGTGGGCAGCCACTGCGGGGGCTCTCTTACGGCTTGCGGGAACCAGGTGTGAGATCCGTTCGGCGATGTGCCTCTTAAAGGCGCCGTATTCTGTAAACGGAGGTTTTGCCTGCGTTAAAAGAAAGGTACAAACCCTCCGGATCGAGAAGGCGCGGGATATGCAGTTTGGTGTAGGCCAGCCGAAAGGCGTGGTCGAGGCGCTGGGCGGGCTGCAGCGCCTGCGCGGCGCGGAACGAGAACACCTGCGGCCGGCAGCTGTGCAGCAGCGCGTTCAGCGCCAGACCGTCGCTCCACGACGACGTGAAGTTGCGCACCGACACGCCAGGGTACTTCTGCAACCGAGTCACTATACTGTAGCCGCTGGCCGATACCGTAATAGGTTATTTGGCAAGTTTTATTTATTGAAGTTATACTTCTTTAGGTGCGTTATGAAAAAATGATAAGAGTGAAATTTTAAGATGCGCGCGCATCACTGTAACACAAAATTTTAACAGCATGAAGTTGGTCGCTAAAGCGACCAACTTCATGCGTTTTGCGTTACTTTTGTGTTTACCGCTCATTAAGAAAATCTACCAACAATAAAGAAATAGAATCTCTATTTAGTGGGTGCTAACCACTGCATTGTGAAGGCCTATCAAAAGTATTTATTAATCTGGAACAACGGAACCAAAGCGCGATTCAGGAGACTACAGCGCCATCTCTTGACCATTGGTGTAGTAGAACCAAAAACCACATCTTCATTTTTTGTAATAAAGTAACAGTTATAGGTATTCATATTCATATCGGAATACGTGTTTGAGTTTCATACAAGTGCAAATCACATATGTTCTAATTAATTATATTCAGTAGCGATTTTAATTGAATATTTTGATTATTTATTTATTTTTTCAAATTAAAACTGAACTTTATTGACTTCGTCCTTTTCCAGACTTTTTATTAATTTATTGTAATTAATTATTTGCATGCAATTAAAAACTAATTTTAAACGATGCCAAAGAAGGATAACTTCTCACGCGCCTACATAAGTACACGCACCCATTTTTTTTTATTTTATTAGACACACCGATAACAATATCACAATTATTACATAAAAAGAAAAACAAACGGGTATTACATGTCTATGTGAATTATTTTTTAAGGTGCATACAGCAATTTCCATACATTTTTTGGCAGAATATAAGCCTCTAAAGTTGTTCTTCAAACATCTACAGGAGGTCAGTTAATTGTTACTCATAGAGGTATTTGTTACTCAATCGAAAATATTTTCTTTTTCAATGATGAGAAAGATAGGTGACAGATATCGATGTCATCGGATTTATCGTTACACGTCGCCATCAATCGACTCAGGGGTGCTACTATCTTAGTTCGGAAAAACGGTTTTGTAAATGGCAAGATTGGATAACGTGGAATTCTTCTTGGAACTGTGGAATTAATTTCAGCAAGCATATCAGGTACATTAATGTTTCCATTAACTAACTTATTTGTTTCTTAGGTTTTCACGCACATCACTCATTAAATAAAACTAGTTTTTACGGGTTAGCTACCTTCGAAAGACTTTTTTTTTTGGTAGCTCGACAAATTAAAAAAATGGGTGCGTGTACTTATGTAGGCGCGTGAGAAGTTATCCTTCTTTGGCATCGTATAAAATTAGTTTTTAATTGCATACAAATAATTAATTACAATAAATTAATAAAAAGTCTGGAAAAGGACACAGTCAATAAAGTTCAGTTTTAATTTGAAAAAATAAATAAATAATCAAAATATTCAATTAAAATTGCTACTGAATATAATTTATTAGAACATATGTGATTTGCACTTGTATGAAACTCAAACACGTATTCCGAATATACAAACTAGAAACATGTGGATAAATATTATAAATATGAATACCTATAACTGTTACTTTATTACAAAAAATAAAGATGTGGTTTTTGGTTCTACTACACCAATGGTCAAGAGATGGCGCTGTAGTCTCCTGAATCGCGCTTTGGTTCCGTTGTTCCAGATTAATAAATACTTTTGATATTATAAATATGAATACCTATAACTGTTACTTTATTACAAAAAATAAAGATGTGGTTTTTGGTTCTACTACACCAATGGTCAAGAGATGGCGCTGTAGTCTCCTGAATCGCGCTTTGGTTCCATTGTTCCAGATTAATAAATACTTTTGATAGGCCTTCACAGTGCAGTCGTTAGCACCCACTAAATAAAGATTCTATTTCTATTTTGTTGGTAGATTTTCTTAATGTGCGGTAAACACAAAAGTAACGCATGAAGTTGGTCGCTAAAGCGACCAACTTAATGCTGTTAAAATTTTGTGTTACAGTGATGCGCGCGCATCTTAAAATTTCACTCTCATCTCATCTTTTTTTCATAACGCGCCTAAAGAATATAACTTCAATAAACGTTTTATTCTGACGACGAAGCCTGTAAAGGCTGCGAAACGTCAATAAATAAATAAAGTTTCGTGCATTAACCCGTAAAAACTAGTTTTATTTAACTTATAACTTTTAGAGAACGATCTCACGTTATTTACAGTGGACAGTTTAATTCTGTTGTGTAATTCAGTGAGAAAACTAAAGTGAAAATTTGATTTTCAAGTTGCCGCGAAAACGTTTGTTTGCCCAACATAATGGCGTATCACTAGTGTGTGACGTCACACGAATGTCATTAAAACGCGAAACGATACAATGTAATGTCACCGACCGGGAGTTTATTAGCGTGTAATGTCATCTGAGTCTGCCGATCCCAGGCGTTTTCGGTCACGTGACCAGGGAGCAAAAAGATCATTTTTTTTTATTTGAGAGTCGTATTTAGAAATTTCATATCAACCGAATTAAAAACGACAAGTTACGAAATTGTTAATTACGTTAAAAAGAAACTATCAGCAAGTGAAAGTGTCTGCATCAAGAACTTAGCTGCTTTTACAAGTAAAAAATATTAATATAGAACCATTCATACACCCTTAATCTTAACAATTTCCGAAGTACCAACATAAGTCATTGTTTATGGTTATCAAACTCGATTTGACGTTTATTTTTATTTAAAAGTCAACATTGGGGTAACCGTGTCATGAATACTACCATACTATTGGGATATGCAATTGAAATTGTAACCACTCACAAGAAAATAAAATAAAACACATAAAATACGTGAAAACCGTATATAATGCTGTGGTCCTATCGTCAATCAGGAGGATTTCATACGTTGCAAATTTGATTCCTGCAGCAAAGCCTAGCTCTTGTGTGCTGGCGGAAATGACCCAGGAGAATTTTTAGAAGCAGGGCCAGCAGGGTCTCCTCGAGGTTGGTCTGCTGCGTCTCCGACATCAGTAACGTACCTGTGTATGCGTGCGACACCAGGCCAGCAGCGTCTTCTCGAGGTTGGTCTGCTGCGTCTCCGACATCAGTAACGTACCTGTGTATGCGTGCGACACCAGGCCAGCAGCGTCTCCTCGAGGTTGGTCTGCTGCGTCTCCGACATCAGTAACGTACCTGTGTATGCGTGCGACACCAGGCCAGCAGCGTCTTCTCGAGGTTGGTCTGCTGCGTCTCCGACATCAGTAACGTACCTGTGTATGCGTGCGACACCAGGCCAGCAGCGTCTTCTCGAGGTTGGTCTGCTGCGTCTCCGACATCAGTAACATACCTGTGTATGCGTGCGACACCAGGCCAGCAGCGTCTTCTCGAGGTTGGTCTGCTGCGTCTCCGACATCAGTAACATACCTGTGTATGCGTGCGACACCAGGCCAGCAGCGTCTTCTCGAGGTTGGTCTGCTGCGTCTCCGACATCAGTAACGTACCTGTGTATGCGTGCGACACCAGGCCAGCAGCGTCTTCTCGAGGTTGGTCTGCTGCGTCTCCGACATCAGTAACATACCTGTGTATGCGTGCGACACCAGGCCAGCAGCGTCTTCTCGAGGTTGGTCTGCTGCGTCTCCGACATCAGTAACATACCTGTGTATGCGTGCGACACCAGGCCAGCAGCGTCTTTTCGAGGTTGGTCTGCTGCGTCTCCGACATCAGCTCCTTCAGGTGATAGTGCACCTGCCAGTGCAGGATGATGCTCCACACCAGACCTGAAGAGAGTATATCGCTTACAATACTCGCTAGCTTTAAATTAAAGGCCGCGTTGTTTCGTCGATTGTAAAATTTTACCATAGCTTAATCCTAAAGAAAAAACCTTTTGTCAAAACTTGACACATTTACTATGCCCTGGCACTAACTATCCGAGCCATGTCAGAAGACAGAAGACTTACGTGTTAAGTTGGACAATAAATTGAATTTTGCGGCACATATCTAGTGGATAACGCAGCTCGTATTTTGGCTTTTCTAAAAAGAAATGCTAAAGAAATTCGCAATGTAAAAACTCAAGATGAAGATTTCGCTGATTCATTAATGTAACAACTAGCAGTGGTGGCGTATTGAAGGTAGGATTGTAGACTGACCGAGGATGAGCTTGGGGTTGCCGTCGACGACGTCGTTGCTGCTGATGTTGACGAGCTTCACGCCGTTGGCCTCCAGCACCTGCAGCGCGGTGTTCACGTTGTTGATCTGGTGCACGCGCATGCGGCCCCGCTCGCGTTTCTATAAATAAACGTATTATCACTTATTTATATTCATTGCAACAAGAGAAGAGCATAGACAGATAGAGATAAGATTTCTTCTGTGATGGCTCCTTCGTGATTAAAACCAATGATTTATATATATAACTGTTAACATCTCCACACCACATTTGACACTAATCGAATGACAGTTGATGTCTGGTTATAGGTACTTTTACATAATTAATAAATTATTCGCCGAAAGTTAACAACTAATGCATGCTACGCACAGTACATCTACCCAAAAAGCCGAAAACATATTGGGTTCCTATAGGAGTTTCAAAAATACAACCAACCAGCGGCCGCTATTAATGGAATAATGACTACTTTGTTTGTCACTTAACAATAAACAATATCAAAACCCATCAGAAACTAGGAGTGATGAAGTGTATGTAAACAGAGGACGTTATCTGTAACACACGCAAGTATATTAGATGCTGGCTATTACGAAACAATGTCTATGGCATAATAAAACCGTATCTATGGCGTACGAGTACAACAGGGTTCATCGCATCCTAAACGCGCGCAATCAAATCTAATCATACGACGCGCATAAAAATACCTTATTCATTAACACGCCCGTAGCGTATCTTAACAGCATTAAATAACTTTTATTTTTCAGTTTTAGTTGTGGGAGTGTGTCATGCCATGATGTCAAAGGTCGCGAATGTGACACTTCAGACAGTAGAAATTTTAGGAATGTTTGTTTTTTGTTACTACAATGTGGATAAATGTTATTCGTACAAAAAGAGGCTTGTCCTTGGGAACAATTTAACATCGACTTTATTGATAACCTTTTAATATCTGCTACTCCATCTCTCATCTCCTCCTGACTGACATGTTCTACTCTACATATTCATTATGGTCACATTGAAAGTTTAGAGATATTTGTTGTTTGGGGGAGAAATAACATATATTTATTATATATACATATTTATTAATACCAGAGTGCCATGCAGTAGAAAAGATGAGAGAGTGACAAGTGTCTAGAGACACATATATAAATGATTATGTTGTGACATACATAATACAGCCTGGGTGTTCTCAGTCGGTAAACCAAGTAGGTTTCACAGAGACGATGACAGCCATAACATAGAACGAAATAGGTAGATAACGATAGGGAGGATAATGGTGATCCTTTTACGCTAATTTATTAAGTCGCGTCACTATTCTCGATAGCGGACGTCAATCGTAATGTTTAAAAAATATCTAACAATTTATGCCATATAAAGATATAAAAACGTTATAATTGAAGTAGGTGATCGTGGCGGGGGCCATGCTTTTTCACTACGTATTCGTAAGTATTCAAAATCTGACAAACTTGGTTTGCACCACAATTTAAGCACATAAATGACGTCTACTTCAATGGAACTGTTCATTTAAAGATATAAGACTGTATAACTTCTCAAAAATTGGCGACTATATCTGTAATTGAAACTATAGAATCTACGCGATTCGCCTCAAATGCGAAATGTAAAAAAAAAATCTTTTGGCGATTATGACCCCCCCCCCCCCCCCCCCCCATTATTTGTGGAGCAATGAGCGTTTCTTCACATGGACAACATGTGTACTCACATATTGCTGCGCGGTGAGGATCTCCAGCAGGGACAGCAGCACCTCGCCGTCACGTAGCTCCGACACCAGGTCCTGCACGGGGGGCTTGTCGTTCTGGAAACACGAGCACACATCATAAATAACACACAGAACACTATTTGAGAAGTACGTCACTATTTTGCAAGAAAAAAATAGGTCCTTACAAGCCTTCATCCTCCTTTACAAATCCTTTACAAAGGTCCTTTACAAATCTGGCGTTAAGTAGTTAATGTTAAAGTGAAACTTTTATTCCACCAACACAAATCTTTTTGATAAATTTTCTGCAAGTCACATTACATTTTTAATTTTTATTAAAAATTCTGATCATATTAACAGGCATCGGTAGTTCTGTGGTAGTAATCTTGCATACGCGGGCGCGGCCCTGGTTCGATTCTCAGTTGAGGAAGGACTATTAATGATTTTAGAAGCTTCAATTGCATCTTGGTTTCTCAAAACTACACATATGACTTGAGTCCAGCCTTAAAGATTACAGTAAAAGAAAATCTTGCTTAGTTTTCCTTATTAAATAAAGTTGCTTCCAGCGAATTACAAATGTAACCTTCTGAATAATGTGATTAAGCTCCAATATTTAATACTAGGTGTTCTAGCTTGCCTACCTATTTTCTTAGATATTTTGCAGTATGACAAGCGTCATCGTAAAACGTTCATATTGTTCTTCAAATATTAAATTTGTTTAAGAAACCCGCTTTTCTATAATTAATGCTTTAACCATAAACACTATTACGAAACTTTATTCTTTTATATAAAAATGCTTCTACATGATAATCAATCTAAATCAGCCCAGATTCACGTCTCGAATGTTTAAGAATAGTTGAATGTGCATGCAAACCATGCAATGCATGGAATCAAAACGTGTTGAATAAATTTTCCATTACGATTAATGAGCACGATGCGTTATATCGGCCACAGTGAGAATAGTCCAAGGGTCTATTGAAAGCGACGCTTGTAACTAATTAACATACGTCATACTCTGCAGCGGCGGCGGCGGCGGCGGCGACATTGCCCTTAATTTGCTCATCATAACTGTAGGCTCAACGGTTGGTCCCAACACCACATATGTATGTATTAACTTTCTCCGAAACTAAAGTGACACTCGGTGAAGCAGTTTACACCTACGTACCTTCTCTAGCTGCGAGTTTATCCATTTTGCGAAAGTTTTCTTTTGCACATCCTCCCGTTCGTCTGGAACAAACACAAATAAACTCTTTGTAACAATGAAACAGCCAGCACTGAAGTTTACTTATGTCTATCAATATCACTATAACCAAAAAAGGCTGTTCATTAGCATCTCAAGATCATATATTTTAGTTGATGCTCACTTTCTGCGACTACGTTTTCCGGTGGGAAAAACGCCTCCCACGTTTTCAACAAAGTGATCATGTCACATTGCTATTCACTGTGAAATATCAGGAAAATTCTAAACTCTGTACTACCAGTTGTGTGAAACGATCAGCGCAAGAGTCCTGAAAACTGTGGCGCATACAATATGGATGCGCGCGCGCAGACACGGGTGCGACCCGTAAGCTACGCTCGGGCGGGCTTTACGCAGCATTGTTCCTGATCTTGCATAATGATTGGCTTCTGACCTTCAGCAGGTCGCTATATGTTATGTAATGTATGGTTTAACCTATAGCTATAGATTGAAAACTTGTGTTTACAAACTACTGCTACTCTAGTATTTTTTGTCACAAGATTCTCAAACAATTACTATCATCATCAGCCTTTTAATGTCACGACAGCTTGGGCATAACATGGAAAACGGCCTTGAATAACCCACCACGAGTAATGTCCAGTGTCGATTAGTGTTAAGTACCCACGATAGCAGAGAAATAACGGCTAAACGTGCATTCAGAAGCTTTCAGCTAGAGATGATGATACATTTTGGCCACCCATCTATGATTGCACAGCGAAGACCGAACGCTTTAGTCCGTTAAGAACATCTTAAAATGGTATACCTATATCTATTGTAATTCATAACTGTGACATGATGTGAGATTTATTAATTGGATTTCAAGTGAGTAATGACAAATCGTATTTTTACCACAGTAATAAAATATGCATATTTTTTGTTTACAAACATAGGACGCGTCACTAGGTTTAATATAGAAAAGATTACTTAAGTATCCTACTAGACACTTCTGTGTTACCGTATCATACATAACAACTGATTTGAGTAAGTCTTGTTGAAAAAGTGTCCGAGTCTGTTTCGAAACAAGTCCAATAGTGAACATCAAGGGCTTGCCGGTTTACGCCGATTGTAGATGTAACACTACAAGAAAGAAAGTTCCCAACCGTCCGCCCACTGTACCACGCGTGGGACTGAACAACGGTTGCGCAACCGGTAGAGGTGGTCAAGGCCAGGTCTTCACGTGCAGTTTGCATCTTACAACCTGCTGTACTAGCGCGACAATATTGCGGTGACGTAAGCGTGACAAACACTCTGTATTCCACTGCTAATTGAATACAGAGATTTTGGCCATGTTTTTGTCTTCAACTTTTTTATGATGTCACGTAGATTTAGTAATCTACGTGACTTCATAAAATCACAGAGATATATAGTAAGGTGTTAAATGCTGCTTGGTCGTTCACTGGTAATATTATTCTTCTAGTTAATAGAATAGTTGCTCCGTTCCTGCCGTCCTCTATCCGAAACTTGGAATAATCTAAAGAAAATATAACTAGAAAAAAATCCACGGGGTCCAGGCAGCAGACGGGACTCGAACCCGCACCCTTCGCAATCCCGGCGAATGCACTGACCAATTATGCTACCGCGGCCCTCACGGACCGCGTCGAAATTCTTCTAGCCATTCTTAAGCTGCAAGGCAGCGCCATCTCTTCGCATTATAGGTAACCCACAATGTCAAATGAATACTTTTACAAGTATTAAACATTTGAAAGAAGAAATAGCAATTATAGTTATATTTTTTTTTTAATTTGCGATAGCATTATCTTTGATGCGAAGAGATGGCGCTGCCTTGCAGCTTAAGAATGGCTAGAAGAATACGCGATCCGTGAAGGCCGCGGTAGCATAATTGGTCAGTGCATTCGCCCAGATTGCGAAGGGTGCGGGTTCGAGTCCCGTCTGCTGCCTGGTCCGCGTGGATTTTTTTCTAGTTATATTTTCTTTAGATTTAAACATCAAGCAGTTACATGCTTTAAAAATAATATAAATTATAACTTGGAATAAGTCAATAATCACTAAGTGGGTAACGTGCCAGCGAAGCACCTGGTTATCTGGTACTTATTTTAAACGGGCGTCCATATAGACTGCGGCAACCGTTATTATCATGTGGACCATACAACGATGGAACAGTACCTTAGAGTGATAAAAATGCTATGGATTATAATAGGCGCGGGCGGTGATTATGTATGCGGATCGGGTGCGCGTGCGCATGCCAGCGGCCGCTGAGCCCGTCAATGAACCCTCACCTGTCTGCCGCTCCTGCCTCCTGCCTACATCATAATAAACAGCACCAGTTCAATCACTTTTAAGCAACTGTTATCTGATGGTGCCTCTCTCGTGCAGGATTTAGGAGCAATCGGCGACCCGTGCCAATAGTTAGCCTTTTTAGGGTTCCGTACGAAAGGAAAAAACGGAACCCTTATAGGATCACTTTGTTGTCCGTCCGTCCGTCTGTCCAGACCGTTTTTATCAGGAACGTGTGGAGGTACTCAGGTGTACTGTCCCTTGGAGCTGTGAAAAAATCAAACTTCTAAGCCAAAGCAATCAAAAGATGCAGCCGTTTATGCCGCAAATTTTAGAAATTAGCACGGGAGTCAAAACCTACAGGGTACTCTCGTGAACTTAGAATCTTGAAAGGTACGAAGTAACGTCTCATAGTACAGAAAAAGAAAAATTGCGAAATCCGGAAATTTTTAGTTACATCATATAATAAAAAATATTTTTTAATAATTATTACAATATACCTACAGGTTTGTATGGAACCCTCGGTGCGCCGAGTCCGACTCGCACTTACCGGTTTTTTTTTATATTAAAGAGCTAATTTAACTTCTCTTCATTGTGAAGCCAGTGTTTTTGGGTTACACCATGCTTCAACAATGTTGTTTAAGCGTATTTTAATTTTGATGTGGCATTGTGTTATGGGTGTAAAGTGAGAGTATTGATTGATTGATTAATTAATTAACTATAAATGATCGATATCGCCCGTCGTCACTTAGATTCTCGGTGTCCACTGATGCAGAAATATATCGTAAAAGAACAATCACTTCACAATTATATGCTGTGCCTGTGTCGTAACAATATTCCTAAATATTTTAAAGGAATCGCAAAATCTATGAACCATAACTCAGTGCGATTGAAAGCTAAATATTTTTTACAAATTATAAATAATGAATTATATAAATGACGATCAGAGGACCTCGATGTCGTAGGTGGTTATTTCAACTTTCGTAATGGTCGGTCATTAGATGTGTGACTAAAAACTTATTATCTTGAGCTTGTCCATGCTTCGTGAGGCACGCTAAGCCGTTGGCCCAGTCTCCATCTGCAGTCTTTAGCACCCACCAATCCGGGCCTGGGACTGGCGCGACACACGTGGTAGTGTCACGTGGTCACGGCCCAATCTCCCTATTCCATACATAGGAAGGGAAAGTCTGTGCCCCTGCACTGGGGAGATTAATAGGCTGATGATGATATAAATGATCCAAAACGTTTTAATTTCTATAATGTCTACGCAAGGTGATGAACTGTCAAAAAATATGTATGTCACATAAAATAATAATTTGTAATTTTAGCTATACAGCATCAGTACGGTTAAAATCGTGATGGTTTCAACATTTGCACAGGTCCAGTCAGCATCCAGCCAGCTACTGCGGCTGCGACCGGCGCGGCGCAGACGGAGCGGAAAGTGCATGCGCACGTGCTCGCGGCGCGGCGGCGGCGCGGCCCGCGGGAGGGAGATACGCGGCCACTAATTTCTCTTCATTAATCAAATTGCTTTGCGCTGTATGACGCATCACTCACACGCACCAGCCCACACGATACATGTTTTACTGTCGCGGCATAGGATAACCAGAGAGAGCTATGATAAATTTTGATAAAGAAAACCTGTGGCTGGCAAGATGCGGTGGTAAATTTTGAAATGATGTTATATCGCTAATTTGTATGGTGTACACTAATTCCATTTAAATACCTTTGCCATTTCACCAAAGATTTGCAAGATCACCGAACGACTGTACAGTTTCGGTAAAAAGTTTGTCAAAGGAAATGAAAAAAAAATTTTTAGTAACCTTTTTTTTATGAGTAAAGAATTGAAGTATATAGAATAATTTGTTAGTATTCAAATACTAGTTATATTGCATTCCTTAGTTTTATTGAAGCAAACAGTTTCGGATAATACATCATCGATCCTCGTTTTCCACGCCCCTAATAAAGACGGGAAGCCGACCTGAAGCAGGACAGGACAGCATCGTCACATCCATGCGTTACCATAAAAAGTAATAAGAAAGTTGCCCAACAGCTGATTCGCACTTACACATCATATGATACGAGACGATACAAGAGCTTATCGACCGCGCCTTGTTTTCACCGAGTTTGTCAAAGGGCTTGTGGCCACACATAAATGCATTCCCATGCAAATAATAAGTATAATACCTAGTTTCTGGGCTTGATTCTCACATGTATTCTCTAAACCTAAAACTAAATTTGACAACAGTGTGTATTTATCATTATTTATAGAGATGAAAAGAGATCACTATTAAAATTTAGTTTCAAGTTTAGAACACAATGAATTAGGCCCACTATATAAGTTACGAGTGTTGGACACCAAAGCTGGAGATAAGTCTTAAGGCAGTTGTCCCACCGGCGCGGCGAGAAACTACTAACTATCGGCTATTTTCTCGCTCAAGAAACGTACAATAGATATATACTCAGTGTAAACAAAAGAAATGCATAATATATTTAGCTGATCACTGACTGTTCCCACTGCCGGCGAGAACTCTCTTTACTCTTTGAACGACGAACGACTATCTTTGATAACCCTTATCAAAGATAGTCCTCACTCAACGATGCTCGCTTGTTCAAAACGCTTAAAAGCGTTTGCGTGCAAAAGCATACGATTGTCTGCGTGAGTGAGAGATTAGGGTCAGATGCTTAAACAGTCCAGCGATAAAACTAGCGAAACTACACTCGCTTCCCGCTGCTCGCCAAATTGTTTCTATAT